ATTAATCAGAACTGGCTTTGACAAGCACTGTGGAATTTGGACAAGAACAAACTGGGAGGAGGGTAGAGAGAATAGTGCAACAATGAATGAATGGAAACCCAAAATCTCTGTAAATGTTTATGAAAATAAATAAATTATAGAAAAAAAAAGAAATTGTTTTTGCCTACCAGTATTCTTTGTTTTTCTTTATTAATTTTAATGAAAGTTTACAGAGAATTGGGTTTCCAGTCATTCATTCTTGCACTTTTCTCCCTGCCCACCCCCTCCTCCAGTTCACTCTTCTTGAAAAGTAAAACTCTTTCATTGTTATGCAATCCCTTCCCCAAAGTCAACTCCATTGTGCAGCCTTCATTCTGGACTTCAATAATGACAATAACACCCAAACATGTATCCCTTTTTAAACAGTTCTCTCCCTCATCTGTTTCAATGTAATATACATCATTCCTCCCCTTCTTCTTTGCCTTCCCTGATGTCAGTCCCATTTTACAACAGTGGCCCTATGCAATATTTGTCCTTTTGTGACTGAGATATTTCACTCAGCATAATGTACTCCAGGGTCATCCATTTTGCATAATATTTCATGAGTTCTTGTTATTCAGTGCTGCACGGTATTCCATTGTGTGAATACTTCTCTATCCTTTTGTATGTTGATGGGTACTTGGGTTGTTCCCAGCTCTTTGCTATTGTGAACAAAGCCGCAATAAACATGAGTGTGCATATATCTGCTTGGGTGGCAGTTACAGTTTCGTTAGGGTAAATTCCCAGTAGTGGAATTGCTGGGTCAAATGGTATTTCTATTAGCAACTTTTTGAGAAAGTGTCATACAGCCTTCCATAGTGGTTGCACCATTTTACATTCCCACCAACAGTGAATAAAGGTTCCAGCTTCTCCACAGCCTTGCCAGCATTTGATGTTTACTGTTCTGTTAAATTTTGCTATTCTTACTGAGGTGAGATGATATCTCATAGTTGTTTTTACCAGTATTATTTTTACACATTTTTTCATCAATTTATCTTTTTGTTTTTGATGAAGAAAATAAGTATATTTTACACACAGATACACAATATTTATAAAATAAACCTTTAATATAAAGATATCCAAGTAACATCAGATATATTTGAATTTAAAAAAGTATGTTGTTATTTTTTTGAAAATCTTTATTATTTTTTTGTGTGTACCGTCAAATCGGATCTGACTGGTACAGGAGATTGACCTTCCTTCTCCAGCAGAGCATCTGGTGGATTCAAACTGCGTACCTCTGGGATTGCAGTGCAGCTTCTTGCTACTAGGCCACATTGTTATTGTTTTTATGTGCTGTTGAATTGCCTGCGACTTATAGCGACCCTGTGTACAATATCTCTGAACCCTACCCTGTCCTGAGCCAGTCTCTTTGATTCCAACACACCTAGTGCTATTGCCCCCCGTTATCATGTCAGTCATCTTATCCTGGGTCGTCTTCTGCTCTATCCCTCCATTCTTCCAAGATTGATGTACTTCTCCAAGAACTCCTAGCCACATGCCCAAAGTATGTGAGATAGTGTTTCAAAATCTTTGCCTCCAAGGAGAAACAAGGTTTCACCAGCTCTAACACAGACCTAATTGTCTTTCTGGCAGTTCATGGTTCAAACTGTTTTGCAAAATGAATTGGTAGTATTTTAACATTATTGTTGTTGTTAATCTGCCGTCAAGTTGGAACCGGCTCATAGCAGGCTTTCAGTGACAGTAAATTGCAGGAAAGGAATTTCCCATCTTTCTCTCATGAAGCAGCTGGTGGACTGGACTCACATGGCTTTGTAGTAATAGCATAGCTCCTTACTTCTAGGCTACCAGACCTCCCTATTAGCAATAGAGAATCTTATAAATGAAGAAAATGAGTGTACATAAAATAGAGTTCATGTTCTTTGTAATCTTGAAAATTGATCTGAAGGATCATTCTTTTTCAACAAGAACAGTCTGTCAGTAGAACATTCATGCTCTGGAGTTACTTAAGGTTTAGATCTTAACCTTACCTCTTAGCAGCTAGGCAGCCAATGGACGGTTTAACATGTCTTTGCTTTCTTACCTAAAAAACTGATAATAGTGTCTACTTCATTGGTGGTTGTGAAGGTTAAATTTAGACCAATCAGAAAACCAAGCCAAATTACTTCGGGTTTGGTTTTTTTTAAAATTTTTAAAAATAATTTTAATGAACATTTACAGAGAATTTGGATTTCCATTCATTCATTGCTGCACTTCTCTACCCGCCTAGCTCTCTCCC